CCTCTGCCCTGTTCCTTTGCTATACTGTCTTGTTACTGGACTCTGTAATGTAAATGGGCATCATATTTTGGTTGCTGCCAAGGACTGCTTTAACTACTCAGAGCCTTTTGTGCTTCCACTTGCATTTTAGGATTGTTTCTCGTTCTGTAAAGAATGTCATTGGGTTTGATGAAGGTGCATTCATCTATCTGTAGACTGCCTTTGGTAGAATTGTCATTTTCACAGTATTAGTTCTTCCAGTCCTTGAGCCTGGATGGTCTTTTGATCTTCTAGTATGTAAAATTATTTCTTTAGTATCTTAGTTTTAATTGTATATGTATTTATACAACTAAATCTGATTCACATATATTATTTTTTATATTCTATTGTGGCATACAGATTTTAAAAGCTGCATGATGTTTATATGCAAGCACACACGTGTGTATTTATGTGGAGGTCAGGGAACAACTTGTGAGAATCAGTTTTTTTTTTCTTCCACTATGTGAGTCCCAGTGACCAAACTCAGGTACTCAGGTTTAGCACCAAGTGCCTTTACTAGCTGACCCATCTCACCAGCTCAGCAATGAGATTTTTAGTTCTCACCTTCACTAGGGTAGTGTTATAATCTGATATGTGAACTCCAAGTCATACATAGTCATGCATAGAAATCATGTATATTAAAATATAAAGGAATCTAAGTTTGTCATAACAAAAAAATAAGAATATACTGGAGGGGCTGGAGAGAAGGCTTGGCAGTTAAGAGCACTGGCTGCTCTTCCACAGTCCCTGGGCTCAATTCCTAGCATCCACTTGGCATCTCACAACATTCAATAAACTCCAATTTGGGGATATCTAATACCCTTTTCTGGTCTCCATGGGTACCAGGCATACACATGCTGCAGATATACATGTAGGCTAAACATAAAATATAAGAAATAATATACTGGAAACATCTACTTAAGCTCCAGCAGCTCTTAAGTCCATTGTTGTGGATAAAATAGATAACCAGATTGTGGTCACTCACTGAAACTGGTGCTATTGAGACCTGTCTCTCATCTCTTACAGTATGGGTACTGGGCAGCAAAAAAAGACTCCCAGCAGAAGGAACTACTACAGATAATTAGGACCACCCTGTCATTCCCACTATCCTGTATGACCATATATGGTAACTCAGATGAGTCTGTCAACTGAACCATTACCATAGTGTTGCAATGTTGTTTTTATCCCACTGTATGTATATTTTTCACTATTTATTACTTTTTTTTTTACTTGTCTTGTAATAATAATATTAACCCAAAGACATCTAGCATTATCCACATCAGTGATGTGTAAATGGTACTAGAGTTGGGTGACTGCTTTGTATTCCCAGACACCTTGACAAAGTGTGAGGAGTTAAGCTGTTATCCTTCAAAACATTCAGGACATTGCCCTATGCACAAGTATATTGGGATCCCCAAGGGTAACAGTGAGTTATCTTTACTAGTTATTATTCAAATTATTCAACTAGCCATCTGAATCTAACACCTCAGTTTGAGAGAAGCTAGCATTCTTGGAGAGTGAATCACGGCTTTGGGAATTCGGTTAGTTGTATAACTTTCATGCAGGGAGGTAAGTGAATATTAGAACTCAAGTTCATAGCAAAGTGTCTAAGTCCAAAGACCACTAAGTTTATTTGAGGTACTTTAAATCAAGACTTTAGATCCAAAGATAAATTTCTGGATAGAGAATTATTGAAGAAAATCCCCTAGATTCAGAAAACCAAATGATTCCTAAAACTTCTGATATTTCAGTGAATGTATAAATTATCTGACACTCCTCCTCCCAACCAATGGGTTGCTGACACTGCTGCTAATCTACCATAATCTACATTCCTATTATGAAATTAAGTGTTCCATTCCTCCTTCTCACAGATAGGGGAGCCCAGATACTGCCAACAAGGAGAAATCTGTACTCAGGATTACACACTTGGAAACAATTAAGCAAGGTTCACAGGATATTTGCTTCCATAGGGCACACCAAGGGTTCCTTAGCCTTCCTCAAACATCCTCCATATTGTAGCACCCATGTTTATAAATCTGAGCCTACCAAATTCTGAGCTTACCACCAGATAGAAAACTTATGAATGCATGAAACTGGAAGTATCAGGCATTGGTTTAGATAACACCCAGACTTACTGTCGGCTACCATTTAAACTCACGTATTATATTTAATTGAATATTAAAGAAAAAGCACAGGAATTGTATATAATACCATCCTTTGGTATATCCAAATGCATATGAACAGATCTTAACCTGAAGTAGAAATTATGTTTATCTGCGATTTGAAATAGTAGCAAAAACAGAGTCAAAAGGATGAACTACATTATACTGTAATGACAAACTGCAACCCTCAACTATCATTTGCACTAAAATCTTACAGCACAGAACCATTTGTATAGCCTATCCAACCATAATCAAACCACACAAATAGACCAAGACTTGATTTGACAAATAGTACTACTAATGACATTTGTGATCTGGGGCAGCAGAAATATTGTTCTAGTAAATTGCTCTATCAAAAAAGACATTATAGTGGCTATAGGGTGGTGGCGCACGCCTTTAATCCCACCACTAGGGAGGCAGAGGCAGGCGAATCTCTGGGAGTTCAAGGCCAGCCTGGTATACAAGAGCTAGTTCTGGGACAAGCTCCTAAGCTACAGAGTAACCTTGTCTCAAAAAACCAAACAAAAACAACAACAACAACAAAAAGGCGTTATCTGAAGACTATATCTGAGGTGAAAGCAGGCAAATCAATATGACAGCTGTACAGAAACCTCCAGCAGAGATGTAAACGCCCTGCTCAGGACAGATACTTAAGAACTTTGTCTCACAAAACAGTGATAGGTCCAGAGCTAAAGTTAACTGTAGAGCTCTGGGTCAGCTAATGCTTCCTACATGTGAACATAAACTCCTCTCATCCCATGCTCCTGTTTCAAAGGTAGGAGAGGTGTGCTGAGCATGTGAGGCTGTGCTGGGGCCTGAGAATTTTTGTATGCTTAAGAAGTTGCCAAGTTATATTCTCTTGGTTCTATGATCACATGTTGAACAGCTAAATTCTAAACTATGACTCAATTATGCTATTTTCCAGAACACAATTAAAAGAGCAACAAAAAATCAGTTTGCAATGTCTTTATACATAACACTGACACATGAAGATCAACACCAGGAAGGTGATATCACACACTATAAACACTGTATTAATAAAGTCAAATACACTTAACATGTTGATTCCTCCTGACCCGACTCTGAGTGATGCCCCTTTCCATCTCTCTAGACGTCATTCTTATTCTCCTGAGGGGTGAGTATCTGAGTATTTTGAACTGCCAACACTGTAGAAAAATGATCCAACCTGGCCATAAAATACAGTAAATAACTTGAATTTTCTAATATAGATGATTTCAAAATAAAATGGGAAATTTGAACAACATGCCTCCTGTCCTCTCTAGTAATAGGAGACACCTTACAAGAATTTATGAAATTCTCAAGTTAGGCATGATTTCCAGTCATTAATTGGTTTCATCTGATAAACTGGTAAGAGTTACATTTACTGCACCTATTAGAGTGGTTAGCTTGAATTTCTCCATTGTTTCAAATAAACTCAATCCCTTTGGGGAAAGCTTTGAGGGTGGCTGTATGCAAGTTCAAAATATTCTACTTCAAGAAACCTGGGTCTGGGTCTCTTCTAGATCTGCCTCTCCCACTAGGTATCTTCTGATTTGTGACCTGCTTAAGGGTTAGTAACTAGACTCCTAGTATTTTGATGTCATGAGTGGGAGCTGGATGGATGGTGTCCTTCCCTTCTTGGCTGTGATTATCAACCATAATGTAGCCTAATAACGTTCAGAACTCATGCATAACCCTAACAGCTTGTCCACTCTGTGAGACTACATCCTTTGGCCAGAAGCAAAGGGAAGAAACCTGACTTGCCCACACCCACAACCATCTACGGAGTTTCCCCAGGCTGAAGTGGAGGGGCAGAAAATGCACAGTCCCTGCAACATCGTCCCCGCTTTTGCCATTGTTTCTGAGGTTTTTGTTGAATACTTCTTTTATTGCTGTACCTAATTAGGACTACTTCTAGAAGTTTTAAAACACGTTTGCCATCAGGATTATTTTTCTGGGAAGGTCAGTAAACCCCTTGTAGTCATTCAAATGTAGAGTCTCCAATGTGGTTCACCTACTTGAGTCTCCTGGTGGTGAGCTGTATGCATGGCATCATGCCTAGATTTGGCATTTTAATGGTGTGGGGGGGTTACTTTCCTAGTTAATACTCTACTGATTATTGTATGCATCTGAGCACTAATCATCTTCAATTCAATACTACTGTAATATGAACAAAACACACACTATAGTTACCAAGCTTCTGGTATTTTCTGCTATCTTCTATGGTATAAATTAAATTCTTTTTTTTTTTTTTTTTTTTTTTTGTTTTGTTTTTTCAAGACAGGGTTTCTCTGTGGCTTTGGAGACTGTCCTGGAACTAGCTCTGTAGACCAGGCTGGTCTTGAACTCACAGAACAAGACTAATTTCTGCCAGCTAGCCAAAATTCTAATCTTTTATATAAAAATTCACCTTTTGTAGTAAACCATTTCTTTTGGTGGGTTTGAGTTGTCAGGTATAATTTCCTTTCTGCCTAAGTTTCTTTGGCATTTTTCTTACAGGGTTGACTGACAATGTAAGTCTTCATTAATGTAACAATGTCTTTCAGCTATTTTGAATTCTTTCCAACCTGTATTGTTTATGGTAAGAATTCTCTTGTTCCATTCCAAATTTCTCGAAGTGTAGCTGACATTGTAAGGGTGAAATCTTTTTATACTGAATTTTATTAAAAATTTATCTGTTGGGCTAGGCAGTGGTGGGCACACTGTTAATTCCAGAACTCAGTTGGAGGACAGTCTGCTCTCTAAGAGCTAGTTCCAGGACAGGCTCCAAAGCTACAAAGAACCCCTGTCTCGAAAAATAAAAGAAAAACAAACAAAAAATTATCTTGATTAATTATTTAAAATCAAATTTAGTAGGTTTGCAGCTATTCTTTATCTTGCTTCCAAGACGCCTATTACATGTTGGTTTTTCTGATATTAGCCGACTGCAGTATGTTGCTCAGCTCTAAGAGCACACAAGACTCTTTCCTGTAAGAACACTTATTATTTGGGTTTTACTTACTTTTTAAAATTTAGTTTACTAATGACACTAGTTTTCAAATGTGTTACATTTTCTTCCTTTCAGAAATGGCACAGGAGTATATTTTCCAGTGTAAGAGGTGACGGCGTGACGTAGCAATTCAAGACATGCTAGTAAATGACGTGTTTCCAGTTGCAAAGTCAGACGTCTCTTCATGCAGTGACTGAAAGTATGGGTGATGGTAGGACTGAGTGCTCTTCTAGATCAGACAATATTTATAAAAGTATAAATGTCATCTTTAATGAAACAAATACACCAGAAAAGAGGAGACCGAGCATGTGGAGATAGCTACACCTGCTTTCTGAATGACAACATTTTTTTAAAAAAATCATATAGACTTTAAACTTTTGGCTACATGTTATAGATGCTTTGAAAGAACAGAGCTACATCAACTAAAGGAAAACCCATAAATATAATTAGTTCTGCACTAGCACAAGTTAACAACAATGATTACTTTCTCTCCTCTCTCCTTTACTCAAATTCTAACCTTCCTTTACAAGTCTGCAAATAAACGTGTAATTACCAACAAGGTACATACAGGACAAAGACAAGAAAAAGTGCTTGAAGTCTAGTTATTATGATAGGTTATTCTAATATATATATATAATTATCAATAGTTTATTATAAAAATCCTACACATACAATTATTTCATCAAGTCTCTTAAAAATTCATAATGAAATGTGTAGAAAGAGACATTTCAAAGTCATAGCAGTTACTACGGTTACAGTATTTAATTATTTGTACAATAGGTCTGTTGGTCCATTTCAATTAAATTTGTTCCCACAAACATCACATTTCTTTCTGAATTTCACTTAGAGCACAAGCAAGTTGCTTAATTTTTCCTTCCATTATTTTTTTGTTCTTGCATGTTTCTTCCAGAAGTCCTCGCATTTCTTCTTCAACTTGCTGAACCTAAACCAATGTATACATTTTACATTTTAATTTTCTAAAAAAAAAAAATTTAAGTGCATTTTGAAAGTCAATGATGTATTTTATGTACTCTATAATTTGTGATTCACTAAGTGAAGTTAGCAAGATGCAACTGTTTCTCAAATGATAAAACTGAAGACTATATACAGTACTTTCAAGTGTGTTACCTATTTAGTCTGGAGTCTCCTGAAAAAAAGAAAGCAATGTGTTTACATGCATTTTGAGCTTAGAAAATGTGAAATCCCTGTTTTATAGAGAGAACAGAAACCCAGTTTTCTGGTTCCAATATTCCATTGCTCTGAGCTGCCTGCCAATGCTGAGTTCAACTTAAAACATTCACCCCTTAAAGATCTCCAACTCACACAACTTCCCTCCCAAAGCAATCTCTCTTTAATTCGGCCCCTCTACCATTTCTAAAGGTCTGTCTTACACCTTTGAAATATAATTTTACCATCCATTCATAACCCAAATTCCCCTAAGACCCTTGTATGACATACTACAGACTTCTGCTTGATTCTTCTATGTAGCTCACCGTGTCTGACACAGCTAACTATGACCACTTTTTTCTATCACTTCATTCCTTACCTCCTTGATACAGATCTCCTAATTTCGTTTCCTTTAGAAAATGACTTTTCCTAATTTATTATTTTATGTGCATGTGTGTTTTGCCTGCATACATATACGCTTACCACAATCATGCTTAGTGATCCTTGGGACCAGAGTTACAGTTGATTGTGAGCCACCATGTGGGTGCTGGGGACCAAGCTTGGGTGTTCTCCAAGAGCCTAGTACTCTCAACCTTAGAGCCAACTCTCCAGTTCCAACTTTTCCTAATTTAAATTGTTACCTTCATCTGTGATGCCTCAGGAGCTATATACTTCCTGTGTCTGATTATTTTAAGCTCTGATTCTATTTTTCTAGTTTTTTTTTTTAATTTAAAGTAATTTTGTTGCTTTAGCACACAAGACAAATTTACGCCATTAAGACAGAGACTGTGGATGACTCTTAATTCCAGCTGGATGGAAGGACCCACTTAATCTTATACTAAGGAGCCAATCGGTGAATCCGGCTCTATCAGAATCAGGTAGAATTTAGCATCCATGTCCTTTCTGTTCATTTCAGAGGCTTGGGAACAGGAACTCCTTTCTTAGTTAAATGGTAGAGATCTTCAGGATGATCAGGAGCAAGGCCTTTGGACTTAAGAATTCTCAAGAACTCATTACATAATGAAATAAACCATGCAGCACCAGGAAGTCCCTCAGGACCATCCTGAAAAGAGAAGCTTGCAACTTCTAACACAATACAAACTTAACTGTGTAATAAACCTCAGGCAGCAGGACTCCCCAGAGTTTGTCTGTTAAAAACCAGCATAAGAAAGCATTTCTTGCTTTTTGTCTGCGAGGTCCTTGGAACTCTGCAAGAAACCCTGCTCCCATGCTGAGGAGAACAGGAGAGGTGAGTAAGGGGCCACACGGCTGGACAGCATGAAGTGCATCTCTCTGGGACAGTCCTAGGGGACTGAATCCAGGCCCCCTCCAATTCCTTAAGCTTTTCTAGCCATCCAGCAAGGTGTGTTCCTGCTGCTGGCTTTACCCCATCCCACCCTGCCCCCAAGCCTGCCTTTTCATCTGCGAGGTCCTTGGAACCCCCAACACAGCCTGTTTCAGGACTGAGGGGACTAGAGAGCCAGCGGGGAGTGTTCCTGCCTCTGGGACTTCTTTGTCCCATCCCACCCAGGCCCCAAACCAGCCTTTTTGTCTGAGAGGTACTTGGAACCCTGCAAGAGACCCTGCTCCCATGCTGAGGGGAACCTCAGAGTTGAGTAAGGGCCCACCCGGCCAGGCGGCCTGAAGTGCCACTCTCTGGGACAGTCTTGGAGCATGGAATGCAGGCCACCTCCAATTCTCTTAGCTTTTCTGGCCATCCAGCGGAGAGTGTTCCTGCTGCTTTCTTTACCTCATCCCACTCTGCCGCCAACCCACCTTTTCATCTGTGAGGTCCTTGAAACCCCCAACACAGCCTGCTTCAGGGCTGAGGGGATCTGAGAGCCTGCAGCAGTGCCGAGGGGACCTACTAGAGAAAAACTCCCCAGTACTCAGTCAGCTATAGCAAGGATTGGACCATGACACTAAGATTCTGCTGGCCTCATATGAAGGAAGAGATGGGTAGGTGCCAATGCAAGAATTCCTCCAACATTCTGAAAAGCAACATGGTAACACCAGAATCCAGCAAACAGGAAGACTTGAACATCCTAACCCAGAAGAAGTAGAAGAAATCGACTTTAAACATAACCTTAGGAAAATGATGGAGACCTAAGTGAAAAACTCCCTTAAAGAAATGGAAGAGATGACAAACAAAAAGTTAGAAGAAATGAATAAATCCCTCAAAGATACCCAAGAAAACCAAGAAAAAGCAATCAAACAGGTAAAGGAAACAGTTCAAGACTTGACGACCGAAATGAAGGTAATAAAGAAAGAAAAAACAAACAGAGGGATGGCTGGATATGGAAAATCTGGGTAAACAAACATGAACTACAGAGACAAGAATAACCAACAGAATACAAGAGAGAAGAAAGAATCTCAGGTGCTGAAGATACTATTGAGGAAATAGACTCATTGATCAAAGAAAACATCAAACCCAACAAATTCTTAACACAAAACATCCCAGAAATCTGGGACACCATAAAAAGACCAAACGTAAGAATAATAGGGGTAGAAGATGGAGAAAACTCCAGCTCAAAGGCCCAGAAAAATATATTCAACAAAATTATAGGAGAAAACTTTCCCAAACTAAAGAAGGATATCCCTATGAAGGTACAATAAGCTTACAGATCACCAGATAGACCGAAAAAAAAAATACAAAAAACAACCCATCCTCTCGTCATATAATAATCAAAACACAAAACATACAGAATTAAAGAAAGAATTTTATGAGCTGCAAAGGAAAAAGATCAAGTAAAAGATCAAGTAAAGCTATCATAATTACACCTGACTTCTCAATAGAAACCATGAAAGCCAGAAAGTCTTGGATAGATGTGTTGAAGACACCAAGAGACCGTGGATTCAAGCCCAGACTACTATACGCAGCAATGCTTTCTTTCACCATTGATGGAGAAAACAAGATATTCCATGACAAAAACAGATTTAAACAATATGTAGCCACAAACCCAGCCTTACAGAAAGTACTAGTAGGAAATCCTCAACACATGGAAGCCAACAATACCCATAATAGCAGAGACATCTGATAACCCTCCACCAACACAACTCAAAAAAGGGAAACACACAAACACTACAACTAAAAAATAACCAGAGTTAACAACCACTGCTCATTAATATCACTTAATATCAATGGACTCAATTCATTTATAAAAGGACACAGGTTAAGAGAATGGATATGAAAACAGGATCCAGCATTCTGTTGTTTACAAGAAACACACCTTAACCTCAAAGACAGACACTACCTCAGAGTAAAGGGTTGGGAAAAGGTTTTCCAATCAAATAGACCTAAGAAACAAGTGGCTGTGGCTATCCTAATATCTAACAAAATTGATTTCAAACTAAAATCAGTCAGAAGAGATGGAGAAGGACACTTTATACTCAAACAGGAACAATTCATCATGATGAAGTCTCAATCATGAATATTGATGCCTCTAATATAAAAGCACCCACATATGTAAAAGAGACATTACTAGAACTCAAATCACACATCAAACCCCACAAACTAATAGTAGGAGATTTCAACACTCCTTTCTCACCAATGGACAGGTCAACCAGGCAGAAACTTAGCAGAGAAATAAGAGACTTAACAGACATCTATAGAACATTCCACCCAAATAGGAAAGAATATACCTTCTTCTCAGCACCTCATGGAACCTTCTCAAAAATTGATCACATACTCGGTAACAAAGCAAACATCCACAGACACACACAAAAAAATTTTAGTAACCACCTGAGTCTTATCGGATCACCATGGAGTAAAGTTAGAATTCAACAACAATATTACCCACAGAAAGCGTATAAACTCATGGGAACTGAACAGTAAACTACTAAACCACCCCTGGGTCAAGGAAGAAATAAAGAAAGAAATTAAAGTCTTCCTTAAATTCAATGAAAACGAAGGCACAACATACCCAAACCTACGGGACACTATGAAAGCAGTGCTAAGAGGAAAGTTCATAGCACTAAATGCCCACATAAAGAAAACAGAGAAAGGTCACATTAGAGACTTAACAGCACACCTGAAAGCTCTAGAAATAAAAGAAGCAGACTCACGCAAGAGGAGTAGAAGACTGAAAATAATCAAACTAAGGGCTGAAATCAACAAAACAGAAATACAGAAAACAATCCAAAGAATCAATGAAACAAAGAGCTGATTCTTTGAGAAAATCAACAAGATGAACAAACCCACATCCAAATTAATCAAAAGGCAGAGAGAGAACACTAAAATTAACAAGATCAGAAATGAAAAGGTGGACATAACAACAGACATTGAGGAAATTCAGAGAATCATTTGTTCTTATTACAAAAGCCTTTACTTTACAAAATTGGAAAATGTAAAAGAAATGGACAATTTTTTAGATAAATACCATGTACCAAAAGTAAATCAAGACCAGGTGAGCAATTTAATAGACCTATAACTCGCAAGGAAATAGAAGCTGTTATCAAAAACCTCCCAACAAAAAAAGCCCAGGGCCAGATAGTTTTAGTGCAGAATTCTACCAGAACTTCCAAGAAGAGCTAATACCTATACTCCTTAATGTGTTCCACATAGTAGAAACAAAAAGAGTCATTGCCAAACTCTTTTTATGAAGCTACAGTTACTCTGATACCCAAAGCACAAAAAGGCTCAAATAAGAAAGAAAACTACATACCAACCAATCTCACTCATGAACATCAATGCAAAAATTCTCAAAAATGGTAGCAAACCCAAATCCAAGAAAACATCAAACCCCCCCCCCCCAAAAAAAAATACCCTCTTCCGTTATGATCAAGTAGGCTTCATCCCAGAGATGCAGGGCTGGTCCAGCACACAAAAATCTATCAATGTAATCCATCATATAAATAAACTGAAAGAAAAAAAAAAGCACCATATGGTCATTTCATTAGATGCCAAAAAAGCATTTGACAAAACTCAATACCCCTTTATGATAAAGGTCTTGGAGAGATTAGGGATACAACGATCATATCTAATATATAATAAAAGCAATATACAGCAAGCCGACAGCTAACATCAAATTTAATGGAGAGAAACTCAAAGCGATTCCACTAAAACTAGGAACAAGACAAGGCTGTCCACTCTCTCCATACTTCTTCAATATAGTGCGTGAAGTTCTAGCAATAGCAATAGAACAACATAAGGAGATAAAGGGGATTTGAATTGGAAGGAAGGAAGTCAAACTTTCGTTATTTGCAGATGATATGATAATGTATACAAGTGACCCCAAAAACTCTACCAGAGAACTCCTACACCTGATAAATACCTTCAGTGATGTGGCAGGATACAAGATCAACTCAAAAAAAAAAAAAATCAGTAACCTTCCAACACACAAAAGATAAAGAAGCTAAGAGGGAAACCGGAGAAACTTCACCTTTCACGACAGCCACAACAAATGGCATAATATATCTTGGGGTAACACTAACCAAGGAAGTGAAAGACCTATTTGACAAGAACTATGTCTTTGAAGAAAGAAATTGAAAAAAATACCAAAAAAAAAAAAAGGAAAGATCTCACATGCTCTTGGATAGGAAGATCAACATAATAAAAATGGCAATTCTACCAAAAGCAATCTATACATTCAATGCAATCCCCATCAAAATTCCAATAAAATTCTTCACAGACCTTAAGAAAACAATAATCAACTTCATATGAAAGAACAAAAAACCTAGGATAGCCAAAACAATCCTATACAATAAAGGAATTTGAGGAGGCATTACCATCCCTGACATCAAACTCTATTACAGAGCCACAGTAATGAAAACAGCTTGGTATTGGCATAAAAATAGAGACGTTGACCAATGAAATCAAATCGAATACCCGGATATTAATTCACAAACCTATGAACACCTGATTTTCGACAAAGGAGATAAAAGTATACAATAGAAGAAAGAAAGCATCTTTGACAAATGATGCTGGCATAACTGGATGTCAACCTGTAGAAGAATGAAAATAGATCCATATCTGTCACCATGCACAAAACTCAAGTCTAAATAGATTAAAGACCTCAATATTAATCTGACCACACTGAACCTGATAGAAGAGAAAGTGGGAAGTAGTCTGCAATACATGAGCACAGGAGACCATTTCCTATGTATAACCCCAGTAGCACAGATAATAAGAGGTACAATGAATAAATGGGACCTCCTGAAACTGAGAAGCTTCTGTAAAGCAAAGGACACTGTCATTAAGACAAAAAGGCAACCCATTGAATGGGAGAAGATCTTCACCAACCCCACATCAGACAAATGTCTGATCTCCAAAATATATAAAGAACTCAAGAAACTAGACATTAAAACTCTAAATAACCCACTTAAAAATTGGGTACTGAACTGAACATTGAATTGTCAACAGAAGAATTTCAAACGACCAAAAGATACTTAAGGACATGTTCAACTTCCTTAGGTATCAGGGAAATGCAAATCAGAACATCTTTGAGATACCATCTTACACCTGTCAGAATGGCTAAAATCAAAAGCACCAATGGTAACCTATGCTGGAGAGGATGTGGAGTAAGGGAACACTCATCCATTGCTGGTGGAAATGCAAACTTGTGCAACCACTTTGGTAATCAGTGTGGAGGTTTCTCAGAAAATTAGGAGTCAACCTACCTCAGGATCCAGCAATACCACTCTTGGGAATATACACAAATGATGCCCAATTATACTACAAAAGCATTTGTTCAACTATGTTCATAGCAGCATTATTTGTAATAGCCAGAACCTGGAAACAACCTAGATACCCCTCAATGGAAGAATGGATAAAGAAATTGTGGCACATCTACACATTAGAGTTCTACTCAGTGGTAAAAAACAATGACATCTTGAATTTTGCATGCAAATGGATGGAAGTAGAAAACACTATGCTGAGTGAAATAATCCAGGCCCAAAAATATGAATATAGTATGTACGCACTCATTAGTGGATTTTAGCCATAAACAAAGGAATTCAGCCTATAGTTCGCGATCCTAGAGTACCTAAGTAATAAGGTGAACCCAAAGAAAAACATATATAGATCCTCCTGGAAATTGGAAGCAGACAAGATTGCCAGGCAAAAGTTGGGAGCATGGGGGTGTGGGTGTGGTGGGGGGAGGGGGTGAGAGGGAGAGAGAAGGGAGAAGGGGAGGGGTGGGAAGAGCTTAGGGGAGTGGGATGGTTCAGATGAAGGAAGGACAGATATGGTAGCAGAGAAGAAGATATCTTAAGGGATGTATTGTGAAGTTGGCAAGAGGCTTGACTCTAGAGCTGTTCCCAGGAGTCCACAGGGATGTCCCCAGCCCGGACCCTGGGCAGTGAAGGAGAGGGTGCCTAAACTGGCTTTGTCCTGTAGTCAGAGTGATGACTATCTTGAATATCACCATAGAACCTTCGACTGGCGACAGATGGAGACAGAGACTCACATGGGAGTACTAGACTGAGCTCTCAAGGTCCAGTTGAAGAGCAGAAGGATGGAGAATATGTCCAAAGAAGTCAGGACCACGGGGTGTTGTCCACCCATTGAGACAGTGTGCTTGAAATTAATGTGAGCTCACCAAAGCCAGGTGGACTGGGACTGAATGAGCATGGGATCAAACTGGACCCTCTGAACGTGGCTGACAATTGGGGCAGACTGAGAAGCCAATGATAATGGCACTGGGATTTGTTTCTACTGCATGGACTGGCTATTTGGGATCCTAATCTATTTGGATGCACAACTTCCTGAGCCTGGATGGAGGGGAGAGGGCCTTGGACTTCCCACAGTGCAGGGTACCCTGCCCTCTCTTTGGACTGGAGGGGGTGTGGGGGTGAGTAGGGGAGCGGGAGAGAAGTGGGAGGAGGGGAGCAAATGGGAATTTTGATTGGTATTATTTATAAAGTAATAAAAAAAGAAAGCATTCTTCAACTCTTTACAAAATCATGTTGGTAGTAGGTCCAACATCATCCTCAGTATTTTCAGCCAAAAGCCTAATTCCTGTTTTATTGCCCATAGCACTTTTATATGATATTAAGTAAAATACCTGAAACCACCACTGACTTCATCAAGTGAAGTAACTTAGTCATTATTCCCATAAACTATTATTTATATAAGACCGTTTTCTCTCTTTAGAGTCCTAAGGGTAACTCTACTTAAACTACATTCTAATTGAGAATGACTTTGTGTCTGTCTTTAAGTCTTACTTATTTATGTGTGCATGAGTTGGTATGTGTCTACATGAGTATGTGAATGTATGCTGAGATCAGATTAGGGCAGTGGATCCCTCAGAGCTGGAGTTACTGGCATTTATAGGGTGTGGTAACCTGGCTTTTGCTATGTGGATAACAGTATCTGAACTCTGAGCCTCATGATTGTTCAGTGCTCTTAACAGTTGAGCCATCTTTCCAGTTCCTCCCCTTCTTTTGGACAGGTATCTTTCTATTTAGCCCAGTCTGGCAGGAACATTTGATCTTCCTCCCTCATCTTAAATACTAAGATTACAGAATAAGCATACACCACTGTGCTTTCTGCCTTTGAACGCTTTTTGGTTGCTCATTTATGAAACTTACACACCATCCTTCTGTTTGCTTTTTTCCATTACTACTTGAAAATTAATGAAAAGTTTTTACGTATTTTTGAATCTTGTGGATCTCAACAGAGTGGCCATATTGGAATGTTTGTGTGATTGTTAGAATACCTTGGTTTGACCATTTTCCTTCTGAGGCAAAGTACCTGATGTCTGATTTGGCAGCACCAGGAACTCATTCTCATCAAGATGACAAAGCTGACTAATTTAAGACCCAATGAATAGGGAAGCGATAGCTGAGAACCTTCTCAAGGCAGTGGTAGACTTCATTTACACTTTTTCCTTGCCATAACCAAAGGGAAATTCACAGAAGACTGCCAAGATCGTGGACAAGTGCAATTGGGATGTAACTCAGGACTTAGTTCACTGGAGTTATTACCGAGAAATGACCCAAGTGGTGCCTGGATGCAGGACAACTTTGACAATGTGTTCTTCAGTAGTTATAGCATTAAAATGTATAGCTTCTTCTAATTTTCAAAAATCTAATTTTTTAACTATAATCATTTAATATTGATTTTTAAAGTAAATCTTAACTCACAGTACCTTTAAATTCGCACAATCAATATATTTCTGCTTCTCATTTGTTAGTTGTATTATTTCAGCTTGATGAGCTTCAACAATTGCATCAACTTGTTTTTTAAAAGCATCATCCATGCTTTGAAGCTTTTCTAGTGCATCCCTTTAAAAAAAAAAGAGAAAATACACCATGCAGATGGGTACACAGATTAAGTGGGCTTCTTCTTAGGTGTAGTGAGAAGTCATCTGCAGACTGTTATTAATAACACTCTGCATCTTAAAATCAGAACCAGCCATTAAATTGTAATACCCATTTCCCACAGAAACCTCTATCTTACAAATTATTTTTAAAATAGATTTATATATTAAAAGGTCAATCAATCCTTATTTCCTACTAAGTATTTTTTTAGAACGAAACTAAAAAATTGCAGTTAGCTACGTAGCTTTTTTTTTATCTCTTTTAAAATCATTTCTCTTCCTCAGTTTATGCAGGCTAATTGTTATTTAAATCTACACTGCTCTTGGCACTCAAGTGACTATATGAATTCCATTTACACCATGCAAGATTTTATTCAGATAGTGACAGTAATGTTAGTAATAAAATGTACATATAATAATTACTATGTTTCAAGGACTACGCTATATGGAGAAATATATATTTATCAAGTTATAGGGAGGACTATTACTTTCTATTTTATAGATGGCATGAAAATAATTTTCTTAGCAAATTAGTTATGTCCGCCATTACTTTGGCATCGTTTTCTTTCTTTACATGTGTTTTACCAAGCCTGTGCAGTATGTATGGAACCCACATCCTTCATGACTTAATGCTTACTTTTGTAGCTCAAGGCTTTTGTCTCTCTCTGCTTTAAGTTTCTTTTCTTTGTTTTCAAATTTTTCTTTGACTTCTTTTACTTGTGTTTCAAGATGACAGAGTAGTTCTCCTTTATCATGCCATTTCTGATTTAATGTGCTAAAAAGACAGGAAATAACTTTAAAAGCGAAGAACATGAAATCATTAATCTAAAACTTTCTCAGTGGCAAGTATTATACAATACCTGTAAGCTTTTCTGATTTCTTCAAGTTCTAATTCCTTTGTTTTCAACTGTTGTTTTAGTTTTTCCTTTCTCTCATTGTGTCTTTCTAATTTTTCAATCACATTATCTAGTTGTGAACATTTTTCACTAAGTTGCTCTTGAGTACATTTTTCTACGAAAGTGATCTTTTCTTGTAATAATTTGATTTGGTCATCTTTTTCTTGTAAACACTTTAAAAAAAATCAGTAATTTATTTTAGATGTTGCATATGGTAAAACTTAAGACCTAAAAGGATATTGAACATAACATTATATATAATACTAAATTTTCTTGTCATGGCTAATCTTTTACAGATGCCTCATGTTCTGTTATTTCAAAGGCAATAATAAGCCAGGCATTGGGCCACATGCCTTTAATCCCACACTCAAGGCAGTGGCAGGCAGATCTCTGTTTCAGGTTAGTTTGTTTCCTTTTCCTTGCTACCCAGGAACACATAGATACATAAACCCTGTCTCAAAAAACAGTAAAAACAACAACAACAACAAAATCAAATTAAGATTCAATTTAATAAGTACCACATAGTACTTTTGAGTGCAAGGTGAAAAACTTTAAAAGGATACATGATATTCTTTCTCTTTAAAATCTACAACAGTTAGCTGGGTAGTGGTGGCCCAGGCCTTTAGTCTCAGCACTCAGGATGCAGACACAAGTGGATCTCTGTGAGGTCCAGGCCAGTCTGGCCTACAGATAGAGTTCCAAAAAGGGCTCCAAAGCTACAGAGAAACACTATCTTGAAAAACAAAACAAAACAAAACAAAAAATCCAGAAGCCCAAAACCAACCAAACAAAAAATCTACAACAATTGAAGATTTAAAATAAAAATTATTATTTTTAAATCTGACATCAGCCTTTTTCCCAAAAGAAAACATTACTAAGATTACGTCTTTTAATTTTCTGATGGTTTCAGTTTGGTCCTCGATGATTTTGCACTTTATTCTCAAGGCATCACAGTCACTTTCATGGCTTTTTCTCAGAGATTCATTCTCTCTGCATAAACTTTCAATTTGGGCTTCCAATTTCCCACGACTCTGAGCTAGTGACGATCCTAAGAAACAAATACCAGTTAGAAACAACACACCTTGGGAATTTTTGTACTTTATGAAAACCTAGCCTAATAAGGAGAAAAACAGAAAAATCGTATTTAAAACCCAAAGCAAACAATAATGCAAATCAAGAGGAATTTAGAAGGAAAGCTTTCTATATTTCAGCTATTATAGATCCTATATAGGTAAGATGGAGCAAACACAACCACATTAGAAATTACTATAGAATAAATAAATAATACTTTGTTTTAAACAGTACCTAACAATTCAAAATTTCCAAGCTATTTGTAAATGTTGAGATATGGTTTTTAATTTTCCTTTGCTAAGTAACAATCAGAAAAAAAAAGACTTAAGAATTTACTTACAATGTATATAGGTTTTCATTCATACAAAATCTTACTTCTTTCCATGCAAAATACTGTAAATGTCACAAATATGAATACTCATATTAGATGTTAGTATTAATATAGAGCACAGTATCCCGTGGAAATATAAATTTTTACTGTTTTTATATATCGGTGAAAAATAAATTCAAATAGAATAAAGGTATCAAAGCTACCATTCCCTCACCTGCTCTTGAGCAACTTTCTTTCTCAGCTTCCAGGGCAGCAGCAGCTACAGACATGTACTGCCATGCCTGGGCACTTTAACAACTTAACTGCTGGAATGATTTCTTACTTCCTGAGAGGTGTGTGTTCTTCTCTGGCTGGTAAGTGCGTATTTATCCTACCAGATAAAGCACTGCTTTTTACCTTACATTTCAGAGGCAGGGAAACACCTTTTTACTTCAATATCGACATGTATTGCTTTCTCACAACGGCTATGATCCATCTAAAAACTTGAGACTTACCCTGATGTGCGAGTTCGTGTCCCCATACTTTTCGTTCTGTCCTTAAACCATAGATCAGTGACTCCTTGGCTGCTAGCTCAGAAATAAGCTGCGTTTTTTCATGCTTAAGAATTTCTATTTGAATGCTCTTCTGCTTGTCATCTTCAATCAAAATTTCCAGAGTGTTGATTTGATTCTATACACCCCCAAAACACAAAATCACCAATTATTTCACTTAATTATAAACATTAAATTATATACACTATAAATTTTTATTAAAGTACACTTATTTTACATCTTTAAGCAATTAAAAAGTAAATGTTACCAAAATTTACACCAAGTTTTAAGACACATGCGCAAATGCCAACATCTAAAAAGCTATTTTCTAAAGCTTTTACTCTATAATTGTTAAAGAAAAAAACTGAACCTACAATTGCCAAAATTTCTCATAAAATATTTAAATTATCTATAACTTTACAAAAGTTGAGTTCTTAGGTGAAAGAATACAAATATTAATAGACATGAATTTAAAGGCTAATTAATACCATTAACACAAGTGGCACTTCTCAAACCTTAACACCTTTGAGTATCACGTGCAACTGGTAACACCTTCATAAAAGTAAATTTACTTAAGTAATTTATTTACATATTTTATTTATTTTTTTGAGACAGAGTATAATGTTTGCCCAAAGGGTCTAGAACTCAAAATGTAGACCAGGATGGACTCTAATTCAGAGATCCCTTTGACTGGTTCTGTCTCCTAAGAGCTGGGCTCAAAGTGTGCATCACTATACCTGACACGCTTAGATATTCTGATGAAAGCAATATCATCTATGAAATCATTAACTTCACAAGGTATACATTCATCAAGAACATCTCCAAATTAATCCTGAGTACCCCAAACTGCACTGCTCACACTTGAGGTGATGCGAAAGCTCCAAGGAAATGACACTCCAGACTCTTGCCTGTAAATTCGCGGCTGCTTCCTGTTTCAATTTGGAGACTTCTGAGAGTTTTGTCTTTTGTTCCTTCACCATACAGGTCAGATCTTTAATTAAAGATGATGATTCATTTTCTTTGCGTTGAGCCCAAATAAGAGCATGTTTGCTCTTGGCTAACTCAGTTGCAACATCTTCAAAACCATCTTGAACCTATATTTCGAAATCATATTATAAACAGCAGCTTCCCAAATAGAAAATATTGCATCTAGAAACAGTTTACAATTTTCATTTAAAAACCTTGCATTTTAGCGAAACAAAAATCAGAGGTAGTTTGTTTCTATCTACTAATTCCCAGCAGATAAAACACAGACCCAAGGGGTTTGCTCCTCATTTGTTTAGTTACCCAAAAAACTAAGTAGTGAGTGTAAGAACCAAGATTCATTTGTATGACACATACTCACTCAGCAGTTGCTATAGGTCAGCCACTGTTTGGCACTGCAGTGTACTAATGGAGAAAACAGACTAAATTGTCTTGTGGTAGTTAGGGACTTGCAGTATACCAACAGGAAGAAACTATGCATCATGAAACTATATAGAAAATGTAAGCTTAGAAGGATGTAAAGTACTGTAAGAGGAAGGTTCAATTTTAAATGACATTGTTATTGAGAAGTTACCAGCAGACAACAAGAATGTAAATGTACATAGGGAAGGTGTTCTGGGCAGGAAGTGCTTCAAGGAACAGTATAATACATGTGATGGGAGTAGCTTGAGTAAAGGGGGAAATGGCAAGAACATGAAGTCAGCTACAACACAGGGTTCTGATTATCGTTCTGAATAAAATGGAAAGGCAAATTAGTCGAGGAGTGGTATAACATCTAACTTACATGTTAATACAAAGTTGGTAAGAAAGACTATATTCTAAAAATAACACTACAAAAAGCTCGTAAGGTACTCATTATGGAGTATCAGAGAAAAAGGAGTCAATGTTGGCATTAGTTTTTGGCATTAGCACTTAGAAGACTGAGAATAGCATTAACAGAGATGGAAAGACTGTAAGATTCTAAAATGTGGTTCTCTTATCAACAGAGCTACACATCAATTCTTACATCTTTAAATCTTCTGGCTTCCACAGTTAAAGCAATACGGAATTCGTTTTCTAAATCCAAATACTGCTGGTTTAATATATCAATTTTTTCTTGGTATTCTTTTACTTCTTGCTCATGCTTTCTTTCTTCTTTGGACATTTCTTTAGCTAGTGCATCCTGAAACTCTGCATCACTGAAAAACTCCCTAGTTTCAATTTCTTTCCTGGAATGGAAACCAAAGCAATGCAGTTCATGAAAATAAAAATTCAAAAGTCTTTAAATAGCCTTTAACATTTTGTATCACCTAAGGTTAATGGAAGATCAGTTCTTTGCTTTAAAACACAAAAATGTATAGACAGAGAAAGTTCATAGTCTACTGGTTTAAAGAAAAAATACCGAGTAGTCTTACAATAGTTATTTGGAAGTTAACAGCTACCTCTCGCTCTACAGGATGGGCAATTTTTATTAAGCTTGAAGAAATGTAGAAATAAGGTGCATTTTTTATAAGAATCTTCTTTTCATGCTGACACCAAAGCCACACATTTGTTTTTCAGCTGCTATTTCTAAAGAACTGAATTTAATAGAGGTGCAAATATGTTTTCTTCTTAAGTTAATTCTGATTTTACTCCTCTTTTTCACTACATTGACTGGCTGATAGATTACGTGTTTTATCATACATAGATGTCATAGGACAACCTGCAGGAGCTGGTTTTCCTTGTGTCACAAGGGTCCCAGGAACCATACTTGTCAGGCTTTGGTGTTAAGCCATGTTGCCAGCCCTCCATGAGTTAATTCTGTCAGATGTCACTAAATGGTCAATTGCTGGGTAGGAAGGAGGGTGGACAGAACCAGAAATTTCCTTTTATACTTATGAATATCAATATTGTCTTGATACGTTTCATTCACCTGTGTTCCTCTTCTTTCAATGCCAGAAGTTCATGAAGTTGTTGCACTTGCTCCTTTTCTTGGTGAAGAGAAGTTCGAAGTAAGTTTATTTCTCGATCAGCAGCCGAGGCTTTGAGCTCCACCTCTTGGAGAAGTCTCATCTGAATGAGGGACAAATGATTACAATAGTCCCACAATTATCCCCCTGCCTCTAGGTTTAAAGTTGGTTGTAGTCTCATTTGTGTGTCGTACATATGGTACATACAGCACTAACAGTCACTACCTGCTTCTACTTTATATTTGGTTAGTTTGTCTAAAAGCCAAGGGCAGTTTCATTAGTTTAAAAGAAAAGCCACAGGGCAGGCAAGCTGTAGACCCTGGCAGCTACCTGGAGGGGGAAGATGGAGAAGGGGAAAAAGTCATGCCTTTTGGAGTTAGGTACAGAGGTTAAACAAGCAGGCTGCCAGACACATGGTGAGTGAGAGTGCTTTGGGGTGTGCTGACGTTCAGCATGTTAGGGAGAACATGACTAAGATCAGTATCTGAGAGAAAAGGGAAAGTCCTTATACAGAAAAGCTGGCAGACTTAAGAGCTTCGAGAGCTAGCAAGAAGCTTTATGGCCACCCCTGCAACTACCAACTTGTATTTTTTGGCAGCTCCTCTAAATGTTGATTAAATGGCATGACTTGATAACTGAGCTGCTTTCAAACTTTACTGAATTAAGAATGATATTGTCAGACCAAGTTGACACATCAAATATACTGACATCAATTATTATTGATTTGTATCACATGTTTTGACAGGTTCCATGACAAAAGCATGAAAGTAAAAACTCTTTCAAGTACCTCACAGATTTGAAAGCTATCTCTCAAAAATATGAGCCTACTACCTGCAATATTTCTGTCAACTCTTATAACTGCTTTATGTAAGTCCTGGTAGAATAAAGACACAATCCACAGGCTATGTGGATGCTATATAAAAAACAACAGTGACTTTTTCTGCATAGAGCCTGGTATCTTTTGAGTTTACTATAATATTCAATTAGGTTCAGGGAGGAAGCCATGAATCTTTTCATCACATCATGGATCCATTCAGATACCTGTGCCTGCTGCTGCTGTGCTTTCTGCTTCTCCATTTTTTCCAATGCCTTTTCCAGGGTTCTCAAGTGTCTGATGTGATCTTCCTGTTGATCTTGTGCTTTCATTAGTTCAATAGTTAGCTTTTTAACTTCATTTTGAAGTCTGTGAACTATAATTTCAAGTTGAGCCTTGGAATGTCTCTCTTTAAAAATAACATCCTTTAGCCTGAAGCATAAATTATATATGCAATCATAAGAATGTTACATGTACAAAAATAATGAAAATTGTAGTCAATGTTAAGGCTTAAAATAGTGATCAGTATCTGAAAAAAATATATGCATTTGTCCCGACTCTGAAACTAACATTTTGATGTAACAGAAAAACATTGGTCACAAATTAAAGAAACTTAGATAAACTTTATTATTTCACAGCAATACTTTACCCCTAGTGTGTCTCAACTGTGGGCTAGTGTGAAGTTTTTAAAAGCATTCGGTATAAATAAGGTATAGTCACCACCCTCAAGGGAGATCAGTATCAGAGGAGATATATAATTTAAGATTCAGAATCAAGAAGATATTGATACCAACTGGCTTTGAGAAAAAGGTGGTAGAACGATTATTTCTAGTTTTGGAAGCTGACAGAATATTAATGGCACACCATTTACTAAGTAAAGAATACAGAGTAAGAAGCAAGATGCTCCTTTCTCAGGATGGGCTAACCTGAAAACACACAAAATATAGGAAAAACACTTCTGTTAACTCATTAGATCAACAAGTCTATTGTCCAAAGAGGTTGGAACAATAAAGATACTATAATAAATGAGATTTACTCTGTTGACATAACATTCATAGTATGATCCCTGGCCTTCAGACTAGGTGATGGATACAAGATACACACAATAACATCAAGAGCTGTGAAGCATTAATCTCAAGATACCAAACAAACATGGGTGTAGATAAAAGCGGAGTCAGAACAACTGAGACTGACTTCTCAAGAGAGCAACGAACATGGACCATTGACGTCAGGTACAAACGAGAGACTGTATAGAGCTAGAAAGGAAGTGTGTTTCAAACATCCCAAATTCAATGAAATCCAGCGAGCAGTTGAGATTAGCTTCTATTAAGTGTATTTAGTTAATACCTATACTATGAAATAAAACAAAAATTATTCACATATAGCCCCAAACAAGAGACAAAGTATGCCAAACCAGGCCTGGAGGTCCACACCTGTATTCCAAGCACCTGGGAGGCAGAGACCACAAAAGCTTTTTTGAGTTCAAGGCCAGACTACTCTACTTAGTGATTTCCAGTCCAGCCAGAGCTATGTAGTAAGATGCTGCCTCAAAAAGTCAACACAACACAACATAACCAAACTAAACAAACAAACAAAAAGCCAACAGTAAAAGGAATTTCAACTATAATGCAAAGGAAATAAAATGTAATAAAACAACCCCTAAAACAGCTTGGTTTTATCCTGAAGAGGAATCCTATCCTCTACAGTATCCCCATGACTCATCCTCAATCTCTAGCATGTAACAGGGCTCTGCTCTTGAGGGTGTTCTGAGCCTTATTCCCTTCCCTATGCCATTCACTCATTTCCTGACTGGAATTTTTATTGGAGGCCACAAGTATTACATAGTAAATGTACAGCTGACAGGTTCATAAAGGCAGACCCACAAGAGTACAACTTATGGGGCATCTGTTTTACAGAGCCTGCGGGGGCACTTGTCTTTTGGATAAGCCACTGCCAATTCTCTAAAATCTTGTGAAATCAAGGTGGTTCTCCCTTCAAAAACAGTATTCACCCCAAAATATCTCAGCACCATAGAGGCAACAGAATGACCTTTCCATTCCCCCACACCTTAGAGCGACAACATTCATTCTTTGTTCTAACAGTTAAATTTATACAGTGTCAATTCCACAAAACTGCTTGCTAACAGACCACATAGAAATTTCTATAGAAGACAGGCACTGCTCAGGAAGGCAGCATGCCCCACCCTTACCAGACAGACAGCTCTGGGTGTGGGTGAAGTCCAGGTTCAGGATGTTTAGTAACTTTATCTAATGCTTTGGAATGTCAGATATTTCCCCTTGGACAATGGTTCTTTGCCGGGTGGTGTCACCTGGGGAGTATTACTAATTTATCAGGATCTCCCTGCCCTTTTAGTGATTTTGATATGCATATTATCATTGTCCTTTCCTATGGAATTTTCCAACTACAGAAACCTCATGAAGATCATCCCTTCTTCTTCTTCTTCTTGCTTCTTCATGCAAAGGAATAAAGAACATGTAGCAGTGATGTACTTGAGTCAATTTTTTTTAACCCTCAGATTTTCGCTTGCCTTAAATAAGCATCCTATTCTGAGCCATGAGGGGTGCTGGGGCTGGAACTCTAGGCCCCCGGTAGATTTTCTTCCATATATTCAGTACAGTGATCCCTCAAACACAAATATGGCAGGACACTGACAGAGGCACTCACACAAGAGTGCCAAAAATGTGCAGCTACAAAGATTCTCACTGTACATGTTTAACATGGTTTCTTTTTTCATATCACACAAGTATAACATATAAAACAAGCAGGTGGACAGGATTTTGTTTTTTAAGTATCAGTATTATAAAACCAAATGTCTAAAATAAATTAGGGATCAGGTTGGAAACAGTGTACCTCAATTTGATATTCAGAAGAGATTATTATTATTATTATTATTTTCAAGACAGGGCTTCTCTGTGGCTTTGGAGCCTGTCCTAGAACTAGCTTTTGTAGATCAAGCTGGCCTCAAACTCACAGAATTTCACCTGCTTCTGCCTCCTGAGTGCTGGGATTAAAGGTCTGTGCCACCACTGCCCAGCATTCAGAAAAGATTTTATAGGAGGAATTATCCATGCTACAGACACAAAACTGAACTAGTAGCAACTTCCCAATCCACTTATGGCCAATAGCAAGTCTGGAGATAAGAAAAACAAACAAAACAAAAAATAAAAACCAACCAACCAAATAAACAAAAAATCTGAAAGGAACTCTAGAGAAGAAACTTAATAACTATTTCAGAAAAGGAATCATGTCAGAATTAACCATAGAAATCAATGTATTTTCACATAATGAAATAAGATAGTGTAACATTAAAGAAAGTACTGGGGTAAAAATAAAAACCCTCAGACAAATAGGAGACAGACTAGACAAGAAAAAATAAGAAAAGAATTAGGAAACTTGGGCTATGTGGTACTACCAAACCTAGCAGAAAGTGAGTACATAAACAGAGACTAGGATTCATAAACCTCAAAGAGAAATTTGCCAATGGCCAGTGCTAGCCCTTTGTAAATATGGTACTCTACAAAGCAAGTCACCCCACCCCACAAAGTCTTATCTCATTGTTTATGTATAATACTCACCCACCTGACACTTCCCAGTACAAGTGGTCAACTACATGTACCCCAAATTCCCCATTTATGTAACAAGGAAGCATTAAATCTTAAAATCAAGTGAAAGTAAAATGTATTCATTCCCCCTAATTTTTCCTGGTTCCACGTCTAGTAATCCTCAGGCTCTGAGGGACATCTTTAAGGGCATATTTTGTCTTACCTGTCTGTGGTAATGAGAGCCAGGCTGTGAACATCTTTTTTCTCACTTGCTTGCTTAAGGAGCTCTTCGATATAATCCATAAGTTTCTTTTCAGCTTGCTCAGCTTTCCACCTCATCTCTCTCTCTTGGTCTAACTGTTCCAAGAGGGACTAAAAGAAAATAGCAATGCTTTATGAATTTGAAAAAGTTACCCAATTTCTTGCTGCCTCAGTCTTTTCATTTATTTTATAATAACAGTACCTGCTGTAAAAAGCTACGAGGAGAGTTAATGAATTCAAAGCACACAGAACAGCGCAGAATAGCGCTGGGTACACAACCGTATCAAATGAATGTTAGTTGCTAGGGTCATGACAATTATAGAAGGCAATCCAACTCTTAGAGCACATTGTTTTACAGAGCATAGTAGAATAACCAGTACTCAAACATATAAAATAAGGGCAAAGTTATCTAATACAATCAGCAAGTCTTGAATTTTTAAAATATTTAAAGCATCTCTGAATCCTTTTCCAAAATTGGGTTTTAGGACAACCATCAAGACAGTTATACAGAATACTTTGAGAAAACATGAAGATTTATCTTTATATTTGAAATAATACAGTATCACCCTTAAACTAGGAACTATTTCTTTGGGAAAAAGGAGCTGGAAAATTCGTAATACATTCTCCTCCACAAGAATGTAGCATCATTTCAACTGATCTCATCGTTAGCAAATGTAAAAGCAGTAATATTACACAAAGTCTGGAAATCAGGAAGCATAAAAGAAGCCAATTCCCATCAGTGATAAAACTACAAAACATTTATTGCTCATAAAGAATGGTTAACTTTCTAGGATTTTATATCTAAGTTTTTCTTAACTTTCTAAACCGTACCCGGTAAGTGTTGTCGTCCAAGACACTTTTGTCTACTTTAATTATGTCAGTCTTCTGCTCGTCCAAGTCTCTTAAAACATTACAGTTAACTAAAGACGATCTTACATATAAATCTTTAAGGTAAGGCTGTCTCATTTTGCGATTACAACTGCAAAGAATAAAACGTAGAGAATAATCCAAAGTACAGTTTTCCAACACAAACACCTCTAGTTACATATATGAGTAATATTGTTAAAAACATGTAATTAAGGGTCTGAAGAGATGGGTCAGTGGTTAAGAGCATTAGCTCCCCTTCCAGAGGATCTGGTTTCAATTTCCAGTACCCACATGGCACAACAGCACAGTAATTTGTGACCAAATCAGATCCAGGGGATCTGATGCCTCTTCTGTTCATTAGTGGGCACCAGGACACGGTACAGACATACATGCAGGTAAAACACCCACACATATACAGTAAATAATTTTTTAAACAAAAAATGTATTAAGTAAGGTAATAGTTAATTGGACAAGCTAATTCATAAATTTCACAATGGATGTGCTTTGTTGACTCACTATTTAGAGTCAAGAATTTTAAAAAGATTATGATTTTTTATGTGTAGTCTTTCAACATATTCAAGATGAAATAGACTATGATTTCTAATATAAATATTTGAAAACATGATTTAGATACCCTATGGTACTTTAAAGTTTAAAACTGACACAATATTCTATCGGTAGCCAGAGTATTAAGAAGTATATTCTTACTATTAAGAGGACTGAGCAAGTTTGTTTTTTTGTTTTTTTTTTTTTTCTGAGCAAGTTTTATACATGAAAGTATAATTGGATCACTATAAAGAATTTAAATAACAAACATTTAAGAAAAGAATTATGCAGGCAAAAAAGTGTAGTCTTTTTTAAATAACTAGCAAGGTTGATATCTCTTCAATGAAAATACAGACATCAGATTTCTAAATCCTCATGTCAAAAACGTAATCATTACATTTGCTTAGTTGGTACTGGTTAGCTAGGCCTTCTGGCTAAATGAGCCTACATGTAGAGGAGAAACTTGTCAGGAAAACTCAAGTGTTTTAGCCTTTTTTCCCACTGTAAGTAATACAGTGGCATTTTGGTATTTGTATTAATTTCTCAACTTTAGTAAGTACAAAGAGAAAGCAATCTTTTATATGAATACACCATTCTTAACTTTCTGCAGGGATTGGTTCCAGAACCAACCTCAAATAACAGAATATCTAAATGCTCAAGTCCATTATATAAAATGGCATAGTTGTGTGAGTATATATTAAGTTGTCTAGACTAATTTTTATATCCAATACAATATCTGCCATAATACCTAAAATAATCTGTTTATTATACTACATTATTTAGGAAATAATGACAAGAAAAAACAGTTTGTGAATGTTCAATCAGAAGCAATTAATTTTAAACCCAATAAATGGTTCATGTCAGTAAACATATAATTCTTTTGTTTGATTTTATTTGTTCAGTAGTGGGTTAAATCCATGGATACAGAAACTGTAGGACTGGGGGCAAGGGTTAGGTTTATGCCCTAAAATTTGATGATAAAACTGACAGGTTTATCATCGTGAGCCAATAAGAAGTCAGTCAGCTACTCCTGCCTTCGTAACTTCATTTGATGATAAAACTGACAGGTTTATCATCGTGAGCCAAGAAGTCAGTCAGTTACTCCTGCCTTCGTAACCTCATTTGCTCACTAAGACCAAGCATGTACCTTACAAATGCACCGTTGTTTTTATTGTGATGCTTAATAGTTTGAATAGTTCTGGCATAATATGGGATTTTTGTTCTTCTGGGAATTTTTCGACTGTACTCTTTTCTGTTCCCATAGTCACTTTCAGATGTTATGTCTGCGTCTCTCTTTGGTCCGAGGTCTTTCTCGGGAACATTATCTATTAAAGAATTAGAAGTCTAAGAACATAAGAGAAAGAAAGAAAGAAAGAAAGAAAGAAAGAAAGAAAGAAAGAAAGAAAGAAAGAAAGAAAGGAAGAAAGCAAGCCTGTTAAAAGTTCTGTTCAGTATAATTAAAATTTAAAGTCTTCTTAAATATTAAAACATTTTATAAGACTAAAGATGTATAAATTGTATCTCTTTGAAACTGAAGGCAAGAAATTCAGTTCTGGCACAGAAAGAAAAAAGAGCTTTCAGTAGCTCAACTCTTTTACAGACAATTATAAACTCTGGGAAAATGAAAAAGAAGCAAAACAAAAATAGAAGTTAAAACTAAAGACATCAAAGTGATAAAAAGGTAAGACTAGTCTACATGGGAGCTGATACTTGCAAAATGGACCAGAATAGACAATGTTTCAAGCTGAGACTATCAGCTTTCTATGGAGAAACTATAATAGTCAAGTATAAAAAGGAAAAAACTTTTGAGTTAAAAACTAGAGGTAATAAAAGGCAATTTCTAAAAACAAATGAAATATGAACTAATACTTGTTTAGACAAAATTAGAGTTTTAAGTCAAATCAAATTAATGATAAATATAAGAATGCCAACATTTTTTACAAGACTCTAGCAGAATCTAAGACACATAACATTCTGTGTCCAGGATATATTCCAAAAGAGTCAAAAGGAAGATTTATAATGAAAAAGGCACATGAGAGCAAGGTATATTGGTATATGCTTGTAATCCCAGAGCTCCAGAAGCATCAAGGTCAGTCTGTGTTACACAGTTAAGACCTCATCATAAAAAAAGTAAACTAGAACTCTCATGAACTGCTATTAGGGACATGGGATGTTCCAGCAACTCCTACCCAAAAGGTAAGATAGGGATAAGCAACATGTAGGTACACAGCAAAGAGAAATCAAAACTTGACTATAATGCTCATAATCATATATCATAGTCAAATATCTATTAATTGATGCTACATACACAAAAGAATAAAATATTATTGGCAATACCAGTACTGATACTCATGAAGGAAGGCAACAAGAAAATGAGTGAAAAAAGAACCACACCCTACTGTTTTCTACCACTGTTACTATACATAATTCTACTTCTGTAAAGAAAACAAAAATACAGATATAGTCAATATGATGCTTTTGGTTGGTCAAATTTCTACTTCATACTTTCTTAGCTACCTTTTCTTTAATAAACATATTAGCCTTCAAAAAAATAAAAATAAAATTACTTCATTGAGAAGCTGTAAGATTTGATCATCTAATTTCTGAAGTTTCATTTCGTTCTGAAAATCGTTTTCATGATTAATTTTTTCTGGTTCAGAAGATGGACACACAGATAAGAGCGAGGTCAGAACATTATCTTCTGGTGTGCTGGTGAACTGCTCCAAAGGAGGTAATACATCCATGGGCGGTGCTGCCATAGGCATACTGTCAACGACCTAAGGCACAGAAACAAACCTGAATCCTTAAAGTTCATATTCTGATCCATTAACACTTGAAGGTATCTTTTCTCTAAGAAAAACCACCAATACTCTACCTCATCCTCACTTATATTCAGGGGGGAATCAGAAGAAACTAAGTTATCCAAAAGTCCTTCGAAGCACTGTAGGCGTGATGAGTTTATTTCTTCCAAGTTTACTGGCTCACCAAAAATGTTCTTGCAATCTAAGATCCTCAGTTGTGGCAAAGTCTGGAGAATGATAGCTCGGTACCCTTGGAAACAGAGTTCAAAACCAAAGCATAAATACTTTAAGAGATTATTTCTAGAACAAACCAAGCCAGTAGGCATACACTGCATGAACAAGAAAGTCAGTCTGATGAAGCACTGACAATAACTTTACGTACTCAGCATCTTCAACACACAATCAGTAAATACAAGAGAGGCAAAGCATCCCCCACCCCATCCCAAATACCATTCCTGGTAAAGTCAAATCACTGAAACCATCTGGTCTGAAAAATTACCTTGAGATTATAAATGTATGAAATCAGCAGCATTTTACTCTGAGAAGGAAGATAAGCAGATCTTTTGTTTATATTAATATGACCATCATAAAATGATAAGAAAAAATGGCAATTGGAGTGGCATAGTGAGATATTAGTGAAATATCCCTTTTCTTCTTAATGACACATAATATTAGAATATGCTAAATCAACTATTTAAGACAAAAATATTCACTTTTCCTAAGAATTAAACAAGAAAACTGCCAAATTAACATTACAATGGTATACAATCCAATAGAAACTAATATTAAATTTTACTCAAGTAATTCCTTCCCTTTTTTTAACATTAAAAATGTAAAGGCATTTGGGCTGCATGTATGTCTGTTTATGTGTGTGCCTGGTTCCTAACTTAAAGGAAGTCAGAAATGGGCGTTACAGATGGTTGTGAGCCATCATGTAGGTACTGGAATTGAACCCAGATCCTGTACCACTGAGCCATCTACCTAAGTCCTCAACCAATTTCTCTTTTTCTCTCCCCCCCCCCCCATTTTTTTAAACATGTATAGGTCAAGGGACAGCTTGTGGGAGTCATTTTTCTTCTTTTACCATGTAGGTTTTAAGAACTGAACTCAGGTCATCAAGATGGTGACAAGGTACACCATCTAACTAATCCCTCACGTAATTTCAATACTAAATATTTCTCAGAAGGTTCAATTAATTGGTTGGAAAGACTCAAGAGAGAGATAGAGATGTAGCAAATCAGTGCTTGAACTTCTTTTAAAGATTTATTTTATGCATTTGAGTATTGCTTCTATGTATGCATGTACCACATGCATTCCTGGTGACCACAGAGGTGAAGAAAGGGTACTGACCTGAAATTCAAGTTATGAATGGCACCATGTGGGTGCTGTGAAATGAACATGTAAGTTTAAACTTTCAAAAGTCACAATTAATAATGTAATATATTCATTCATACAGTGCATAACTGCAATCCCAGCGCTTAGAGAGTGGAGGGAGGGTTCATGGTTACCCTCCACTACCCATCAAGTTTGAATTAAAAAAGATACTGTCTCAGGATGGGAGAGGGAGGAAGGGAGAGAAGGAGGGGGGGAGGGAGGGAAGGAAGAAAGGAAGGAGAGGCCTGTTTATCCTTTATACTTTTAACCAAGAAGCAATTTAGATTTATTTTCCAATAACTTCTTTATGTTTTTCTAAACATACTAAAAACAAACAAACAAAAAGCAAAAACCTAAAACTGCAAAGCTTAAGACTGAAATGAAAGTGGGTCATGAACACCAAATTCAGGAGAAAAGCATCATATTAAATTAACTACTACCTACCTGGTACAAGACAGATAGGATTACCTTCTCCATCTTTCTCTAAAATAAGATTGGTTAGGAAGTGCAAGCCAACTGTACACTGAAGTAAATGATGGATACTGTCTATACAATTACTATGTAGGTCAATATATCTAAGTTTATACTTCAGTCCATGAAGAGGCATCAACCCTGCAACAATGGGAGAAAAAAGTTTTTAAGACAACAGCATATGAGAATAATTAGTGAAATTTTGTTAGTTCTAACTGGTAATCCTAAGAATTTTGAAATTTTATTAGTTATATCCCTTTAATAAAAAACAGGTAACAATTTCAAAACCTTCTCAGGCATGCTGACCACCTGAATAAATGACTTTAACCTTTAAGATACAAGTCCCTGCAGTCCTTCATGTCTGTATTGTGCAATGTCGTAGTCATTAGTAGCTTTTATATTTAAATTAAAATTTAAATATTCAGTCCCTTGCCCAACCAGTCATATTTCATGTCAATTTTCATACCTGGCTACTGGCAGCCACATGAGAAGGCACCAGATATAGAAAGTTTCTATCACTGTCAGAGGTTTTACTGTAACTACCTCTTTCTATGTGACTATAGTGGTTAACTATTTAAGATTAAGTATAGCATCCGAAAGTAGGTTTTCCTCACTTTAGCTTTTTCTGCTACTGATCATCCTCTTCTTTATCTCTACTTTTGACATGGGTATGGTTTTGGCAGCAACAATGGTTTTGATAGAAGTACATAATTTGGATAAAACCCTTGGTCAAAACATCACTATAATTTGGAGTTTCTCAACACTGAGCTAAGTCCTAACACAATGTAAAGCTTCAGCATTATAGAAATATAAGCACGTCTACTTACCACTGAGATCGTTTATATTATTATAAGACAAATTCAGTCTAGTCAGATTAACCAGTGCTTCAAGTCCTAAAAATGGGGCGGGGGGAGATAAAACATAGCTTTTATAAGGTTTAAATAGACAGCACCATTTCAGATTGATACAGTGAAATCAACTGCTGGGTTTTGTGTGTGTGTGTATATTTAGCTTTTAAAAGACAGTTTTATGGGGAAATAAAACAAATTCATAGTAGGTTTTATGGTTAATTTTCAAAATTTTATGATTCTATTAATTCCATCCACTGGAAGAAAACAAATGCACATAGTTTTCTTCATTTTCATTTACATAAAATACCACATATAATAGTTTACAAACCTTCTATTCTTGTGATCAAATTGCAGGACAAGTTTAAAGTGCATAGTTTTGTCAGTGTGTTCAGTCCTTCAATTTGACTTATTTGATTAGATGATAGATCTAAATGTCGTAGGTTCCAAATGTGATCAATGGATGTGATCTTGGAGATGTTATTACAATGCAGATTGATGGCATGAAGGGATGAATCTAAAGATAACTCTGATATACTATAAAAGAAAATGTTATGAAAACATATTTTAAAGCATGACCAAATAGTTAAAATTAATCAAGTAGCAGATTATAATGAATACATTGTCTACTCACTTTAGAAAAAAGTCCTTCCTATTTTTTCCTTGCAATATTTTATTACTTACCATGCATACTAACATTTTGGTTCATTTATACAAACACAGAAGGATGAGTAACTCTGGGTACTTTCAGCTTGCATATGCAAAGTCACTGTCGTATAGAGTAAAGGGCGATTTCAACAGTCAGTAAGTAGAAAGGCTCCTGAATGTTAGCATACCTCTCTGTTTTGCTTCTTTTGTATATATATGTTTTAAGAACTTCATTCAAGTTCTTTATACATATGTATTTTGATCATATTTACTCTCTCTCACCTCTTCCTAACCCATTCTCTCTTCCTTTCCTACTCAACTTTGTCCATTTTGGTTTGTTTCCACAACCAAGGCCAATCTGAGCTGCAAAATATCCTTGGATGTGCAGTCTTCCACTGGAGTATGGAATGTAGACAGAGACTGCTCAGACCCGAATAATCACACATAAACTATGTCAATTACAGCACTGCTTGGCCAATTACTCAGGTATATTCTTAGCTAACTATCTTAAATTAATCCATTTCTATTAACCTGTGTTTCGCCACATGCTGTGGCTTACCGGAAAGATTCCAGTGGCTGTAGCATCTTTCTCATTGGTAGCTAGCTATATGACATCTCCTTGACTCTGCCTACTTTTTCCATCTCTGTTCTGATTTCCCACTTCGCTATACTCTGCTAAGTCATTAGCCAAAACAGCTTTATTCATTAACCAATAAAAGCAACACATATACAGAAAGACATCTCACATCATCGGTAGACTTATTAGGGGTGGTGGCATTCTTAGAGAAAACTGACCCTTCCTCTTCTCATAGCTAAGAATGAGCAACTGTAACCTTTTAAAGCTGTTCCCTTTTCTCATTTAATTTTCACAACTCTTAAGCAGTTTATGGCAATTAAACAGACCAACAGACAAAAATCAACCTGACATAAATCAACACTAAATGCATGAGTTTCTAACTTTAATTACTTTAAGGTCTGTGATAGCTAGTCAGTCTAGAATTTAGTTGATATCTAAGAAAATGACTAATTATTGCTCTTCCTAGTGGGAAGATTCTTGTCTGCTCTAACTGCAAGTTAGAACACATTTCCTCTAAACAGAAATCATCTTTCTACTCCCTGAATTACCACTAATAAGTGAAACTTGCATAGTAGAACACAGAAATAGTTCCATTGAACTACAGTGCCCAGGGCAGATGTGCTAGATGAATGCGCGCAGGAACAGCACACGCAACGGTTGTGGTTGTGCTGGCTACTATGAAGGTGCAGGGAACCTACTAACTAACTGGCAGCAAGCAAACATTTTCAGACCTCAAACCACCAATTTCTAAAGATGCCTGTTTGATATATTTGCCAGTTATTTAGCTTCTATCATTTACAGAATTATTCAGGGCCAGATCTTGTGCAATTACCATATGCTCTTAATAACCATCTGTTTTCTGACACATCAGAAATGAATATTGCTAAATTTAATTGTTCACTGGTCGCAGTGTCAGAAATTATATAATGTATCGAAAATAGAAAATCCCATATCCATTGCTTATTAGCAAAGCGACCTTGCAGAATTGCTGTGGGCATTAGTAATGATATATAACATTCACACAGACAACATCCTGGAAATGATAACCATTGTTAAATACAAATACAAGCATTCCTTTGAAAAATCTCTTCCCTGACAAACTGCAGATTTAGCCAGACTAAGCTGTTTTATACATTATAAATGCCAAGGTTCATGGACAGAGTAGGGCACCCCCACAAAGACAGGGAGACTCCTGCAGTGAAAATACCTATAACAAGATATCCAAAGAGTCTTGGTGAGGACCCAGCATTGATGGTGTAGTAAAAACCAAAGGCCTCGAATCAGTCCAAAGGCTCTCTGCAAGGAACACTTGTAAGCAAGACACATGGACAAAGAGATTCACTATGTCACACTACAACTTCGATGACGAGATTTTTAATTTTTTCCTTTTTTTCTCTACAGTTTTCTTTTATTTTGGGGGGCTGCAAGGGCAGGGTGGATGCTAAGGAATAGAGAAATGAATGGGATCAAAATGTATGACGTGAAAGGGACATTGAATAAACAAAAAGAAACTAAGAAAAAAAAGGCAAAGTCTAGGATCCTTACAAAGGCACTGAATGGTCTGGGTACCATGAAACAGGGTCAGCTAGAAGAGTTGTGTGGTACATTCAACAAGTATATGGACGTGTATCTAATGGTGCCTCGTGCATAGGAAATTAAAAACCAGTCGGAACAGGGGGGACCCCGTGCTGTGCTGGGAGGAGGGAGGATCCTGCGGCTGTGCTGGGAGGACAGGGAGGACCCCGGGCTGTGCTGGGAGGACAGGGAGGACCCCGGGCTGTGCTGGGAGG